GTTTCATCACGGAGCGGACTCTGGACGAACAGTTGTTGCAGCCACGTGGCCACATCTCGGAAATTCGGCAAGTTCGTCATCCACGACTTGATACGGATCTTCGGCGATTGGCGCAGTTCTTCTGCGACGTGGGTGTGTGTGCCACCGCCGCGTTTCGATTCGAAGGGATCTCACAGGCAGTGGTACCGGCGGAGGTAATAGCAGTTCATCGGCGAGTGGCTCCCGGAACGAGCCACGTCACCACGGTTGCGGCTTTCAGCGGCAACATCAGCTCGCTCAATCCACGGTGGCATACCGCGATCTTGACCTCACTGCGAGAGTGGACGGAGCAGGTGTCCAACGTGTGGCAGCACGGTCTTGCCCGGCCAAGGCATAACCTCATCTCGACCTTTGCACCGGATCTTGGCGAGATCCATTGTTCTCCGCGCGAGCTGCCGATTGTGATCCCCACCCTCGTCCTTTTCCCACGTCCTCAATCAACCCCGCTGATCCCCTTGCTCCTCGCTCCATCTTCGGTCTCCCCTCTCTTTTCCCCACCTTCTGGCAGTCCGATCTTCATCCTTCTCTTTCCTTCTCATTTGAGCCTCTTTCTGTCCCGCTTATTAATCCTAGGCATTGGCGACTGTGGCACGAAGCTTTTGACGAGTTGTCCTTCTGCTTGGCCTGAGTACAGGTGACGTGGACGCAGACCAGCGAACATCCCGCGTGGATCAAAAATGTGGAGCTGCTGATCATACAAGCCTGGAGAACTAACGTCGAGGGCGACCTTCTCGGCTTTCTCTTTGGATCGGTACGGCCGGGCCGTCGCCAGTTGATTGCGCAGGAGCTCATCACGCCAATCGTACAATTGGCGGACGATCTCTCGCCCGACATCTTTTCGCAAAGTGACGACAGCCCCGCTCCGTACGTTCTCAAGCGGTCGTTGGATCCGTACCTTCAGTGGACTGCGTGCTTGGAGGAACCCAGGGACGAAGATACGCTACCATCACGGCAGGAGTACCTGAAGCGTTACGACATCATCCCTCACGCCTTTTATCCGAAGGAGGAAGAAGTGGTGATCAACGACGATGAAGAAGACAACGACGAGGAAACGTCGGAGGAAGGAAGCTATAGTGAGTATAGTGAGGGCGAGCTGAGTGAAGTAGAAGAGGAGGAAGAAGAAACCGGATTTGAGTGGGAAGCCCTGCCGGAGGAAGCTGCGCGCACGGGCACAGAAGCAGAAGACCCGGAGGCCGCACGAAAACGGGAAGAAATCGCCACCGGGAAGTGCCAGCTGGAGTTAGCCAGCGGAGTAAACCTGCGCATCGGTGACGATCCGACCAAGAATCCGGAGCCGCAGAAGCCCGAAGATGGCGACCCCGCAGCCGCCTCCCCAAGCACCTCACGACGGAGACAGAGCAGATCCCCCTCCTCCTCCAGCCCCACCCGTCCCCCAGTTCGCCCACGTACCGATGTGGGCGATAGGCCTTCGTCCTCGGACGTTATCCCGCCGTCCCCTTGATTTTCTCACCCTCGAACAGATCCGCACCCCTGTCACGTTTCCCCTCCATCCCTTCCTTCCTCATCTCTTCCGCGACTTCTACTCTACCCGCCTACTCGCTACTGTCTACCCCCACCCATCCCTTCAGCCCGCTGCCCCCACGATCTGTTGGCATATCTTGCTGTTCAGCGCTGCATGGGAGCGATGCAACATGGTAGAAGTCTACTGCGTAGCCACGGGAACAATCCCCGCCTGTCACCACTACGAGTTCTTTCGAGCGGCGCTTCTCTGTACCCTCTCCTCCTTTTATCGCGACTACCTCGCTTCCCTCCCTCACAGCGGCGATCGCTTCCCTCGCTTCCACCGGATCATCCGATATGAGGAGCTTCCCTTGACAATGGAAGGGATGAATTGCTACCTCCCCCCACTTCCTCCTCGTCGTCCCCGTGAGCTCCCCTCCATGTACCGCCTCTACTGGCCCATTCCAACTAGGCGATAGATCCCGATCACATGACTATTCCCCCCCCCTTC